CACTCGTAGTGTTGCTGCAGGGAAGGTCTTCTTTAAAGAGCTGAAAAAATGAGATGAAATGAATGAAGACAGGGAGAGGGAGGATCACACACACAGCGAACGAAAATAAGATCACAAAAGAACCGAAAGAAAAAAGAAAAAAACGGAAGCTAAGGGAACATACCTAACCATATCTAGTTGAAAATAATTGTCACCCTTTATTCGCCTTCGTAGTTGTGTGGAATCAAGTGAAAAATTGCATCTATGTAAAATTATGTATTTAAATGCAATTGTACAGCTTTTGAGAACGAAATCGCCGGAAAGATATCTTTGTTGAACTTCGTGATCTCTTCTTTGTAATGTCCTTATGAGTGGTTTCCATGATCTAAATCGAGCTATAGTCAAAAAAATTACTGCTAATAACCGATTGATATAAATACTCTATATTAACTAAACTGGAGATGCAATGTCATCGGGGGAAAAGCTAGAGTTTGGATGCATTAAAACCTCACGAAACTCACCAAACATTTTAAGTTGGTATATTTGCTAAAAAAACATCCAGCAGAATAACCATGACCTTTATGTGTATAAGACGAGATTGACTGAAAAACATATTTAACCGTAAAATGTAGAGGTCTGAGACGTCATTCTTCGGAAAGTTGTCCTCCTGGAAACCTTAACTGTATTGTTCTTTGTAGAACAATTTCAACACGCTAACGTCCTCCAGTCGTTCATCAGTCTACACTTGACCTCACATATTTCTACTCATGTGTATGGGTCAGTTCACGTGTTCGTCTAGAGTCAGATTTATCAGTAATTTGACGATTCTCTAGTATGCAAAGGCTTAGTGTGGGGCAGATAAGTGGTGGTGGGCTCATTACGCAGTACACTGAATGAATGCCACATGGATACTCTACTTCATTCTAGTTCAACCGACTCCTCTCTGAAAGTGATCAGCAAAGACCTGTCAACGACAATAGACTTTCATCACCTATTCTTTGCTAAAGCAGCAATTATTCAGATAAAGAGACTGGAACTTTGTACACAGAAGAGTATTCTGCAATGTTGTTTTCCAGTAGTTTGAAATTTCCTAATTATTCTATTTCTTAATAATTAATATATGTATTCTGATTACAACTCGCACAACAAATTACTTTTCGCGTTGCCTAAGTAGAACAAATATAATTGCCGATTTTATTTATTGATTGAAGTCATCCAACTTGATTATGATATCTCTTGACTTTCGTTAGTATACACTTTTCTGAAATTCATACTCCATGTAGAAGAGATTGCATGGCTAGAGAGAGAGAGAGAAAGATAACAAACAATCCCTACGACGGAACAGTTGTATTGATTTTATGCAAGTGATTTATCATCACACTTATTTCTACAGTCATAAGGCAAAACGTTAAGAATTAACGTTTCGAAAAACAGACTGTGAGCTTTACTCACCAATCCAGCTATTGATTTCACTCTAACCCAAAATAATAATTAACACAACTCTGAGTTCTAATCAGCTGTCCGTTTAACCAATCAATCACTTTCTTTCATTTTGTCGATATTTTAGAAAGTGTAAACTAGAGGAAATTGTCATTTATTGTGTGTGACAGGTGAAAGCTGGACATATCTGCACCTTGTCATCAGTCAACAGATTCTCTGAAGAACGAAGCATGGAGGTGAGTCTGTCTATTGTTGTGCATATTGACTGTTTTTGTGAATCACTTTTGATTATCATAAAACATTGTTCAAGTTTATTTTGACATTTCCATGGATAATTAGGGGGTTTGTGGTTAGCGATTTATTACAGGTGGAACCTGACTTCTAATCGTCACGTTACCCTCTCTCCCTTTCGGTGCCTTAATCAACATATATTTACTCTCCTCCAATGACATTGGTTTGAACTCAGTCATGGATTATTGATTCCCTCTGTCAGGGTTAGTCAGCACACTAGATCACCCACTTCGATCATGGTTACACTGTTTCGTCATAGACATCGATGTTCAATTCACCGAAATGACTGAAGTGATCAATGAGATGAATTCTTATCTAAATAGAAACATTCTCACCAACAGAAATTGCTGTTAAAATTCTAGTGAATACTGAGTCGAAAATAATTCTAATATTGATTAGTTACTATATTTTCTTATTCACAGTGTGAGTTTATGTGAATGACTTGTCGCGCACACTCCACTATGACAGTGTAAACTCGTGTATTGTTTGTGCCAGTGGAAATACATATTATAGAGAAGGATTCTTCTACGCTGGCTGGCTTTGTGGCCGGTTTGCACCAGATGGTCTAATATCAAGCTATTAATAGTTTTAACTACACCTTTACTTAGCCATAGTGGGATATGTTCTCGAGTGAGCACGAAAAATCAAGTTCCTAGAGCAACGGCCAACATAACTCGCTCCACAAGCGCAGTTGAATTGATAAATACAATTTGAAGTGGCTAGCTAGTCTAGGTACTTCATCTTTCACTCGAGGTGTCACCATCGGTCGTGTAGAGAATAATACGTGTAGTTCGCTGCCAAAATTAAAAGTTCTTTTAACTGATTTTATTAATTTCTTCGTAATTAACTCGCTTGGTATATTGTCCATGAATTGTAGTCGTATATAAAGTAGCTTCTTGTTTACAGATAGTGGGTAGTCCTTTTCGGCTTTCTTTGTCATATGTTTCTTGATAAATTTTTCAGGATAACCATTTTCCATTAAAGTATCATATACAATGCTTAATTCATCTTTAATTACTTCTTCAGAGTATATGGCTATAAGTCTGTGGCTAAGGGTCTTCAATAAATTTCTTTTGTAACTGATAGGAACGAAGCTGTGAAAGTGTTTATATTTTTCCTGTTCAAGTGCTTTTTCTATGCAAATTTCTTTTTATGCTACCGTCTGGTTTTCCTGTAAGTAGGACATCCAGGAAGGCAATTCTGTCCTGGGACTCCTCTTCGCATGTGAATTTCATAGCCGAATGTACTTCATTGAATTCAGTAATTATTTTACTCCTATCGGAACCATTATTACAGAAAATGAAAGTATCATCCATATATCGGCAATAAAATGAGAGCTTACTGATAAGGTTGTTCAGAGGTCCATTTTCTAGCTTACTTAGAAAGAAATCAGCCAGAATGGGACACAATGGGTAGCCCATTGCCACCCCGTCCACTTGCCTGTAAAGCGTGCCGTCAAATTTGAAGTTTACATTCATGGTACATCTTAATATCAATTCTTTTAGGATTACAATATGGATTCCAATGTTTATCGATTGCTTGTCCACTTGTTCACATATATAATTAACTGCTTCTATTAGAGGTATATTTGTGAATAACGATGTTATGTCCAGAGATATCATGGTTTTGTCCTTCATATTAATATCTTTCATTTTGTCTACGAATTCAAATATATATATATATATATATATTCGTGTATACTGTATATTCGAATATATATATATATATATATTCGTGTACGAAAGCATTACACTGTTTCAGTTATCCTAAGCACGTTGTCTGATGGCTGCTACGCTGAGTTATTCCTTACTGAACAGACCAAATTGTCTTCATGCATTAGGCTGTAGCAATCCATTAAGCCACAGTATATGAGGTTAGAGTACAATGCCATTATCATCCGTTCACAGCATCAGTTTTTGACATGACCATGGTCTTAAGAATTTTGATGTGGTGTTTGGCCAACCAGGATTGAAATGACAATACGAAACTCGTGTAAGGAAACAAAACTCAGAGTCTGCTTCAGTTGGTCAAATGCATTTGAACACTGTCTGCATCTTACTTGCAATATTACAACTTGTGACTTGTTGTTTCGTTACTTCCACCATCCATTCGAGGACGTCAATTGGATGGCTGTTATCTTCACCTCAATTTTCACCTCTTCTGCTCATCAACCCTACAAAACAAACAGCAATTTTAGGTCTCCTTAGTTACCTGTAAATTGACAAAGCAGCTGTTGGCAACATACCTGTTTATATTTAACCTTCATCGATTAGTTTGCATAACAATTTGTCGCTTGTCCATATGTTGGTTTGTGTTACTTGTACACTTCAAAAATGATATCTACCAGTTTATCACATCTGACATCATCTTGTGTTCACATAATTTCATGTCACCATCTGGATAGTTGTGATTTTCGAAGGAATTCCTTGATGTATTTAATTTGGAAGAGAGAGAGAGATTTAGTTATTCGAATTCAAATTGGGATTTCGTTGTGGACTGAAGTGGGTAAGAGAAGCAATGAAAACAGAGTAGCACCGAATTTAATTATTTCCAACTCCTATGAGATCCTGCGTTGTTTGTCGGTGCATAGCATTGTATAACTGACACTTTCCTTCCTTTGGAGTTGAATCTGGCGGTCATTATCCTGGGCGAGATCGCCTCCCATTGCATCAGGGCCTTCAATGCCATTGGTGACATCATGATAGCCACGCCCTCGGTGTGCATGTGGTTATCCTCTGGGTGACCGGAGTAGATCACTGACTCACCCGTTGACAATTTAGTGAGTCCATTCCCGTTCCATCTGCTTTCACGTATCCCCAGTACTTGAATTCTACATCTTTTCATTTCGTTTGCGATTTGGTCAGCTTTGCCAATCTCGTACATGATGCGGACATTCCATGTCCCTACGCCAACTTTTTCTTTTGGCGCAAGAAGATTCATAGTGCTGCAGTTTCTGTAGCAGCTTTGTTCACAGGGTGGGGTTGCTAGCCTCACGCCTGAGAAGGGGATTGTTACATTAAAATATAGTTCATTGCCATTTAGTTTTCAGTGCCCTTCTTACAGGTAGATACGACCGTAAATGTTTCTGAACCAATCATCTGAACGACCACACTTCATTGACACAATCATACCGTATACAGGATATCAGAAGTTATCTATTTACAGCACGGGACTCCTACGAGCCCCATCACCTCTCAGCTTTTCCGAATTCTCTATCACAATTAGCATGAGAAGATGGTGGTTTATAAATCTGTTCAGTGTTACTGAAATGTACATTCCATTTCTAACAGATGGATGATAAACGAGGGGATATCAGCAAAGAAACGATGAAAGTGAAGGAAAACGATGTACTGGACAATGGAGAACATGAAATACAGAACCTTTTTGAACGTGTTCAATTATTTATACAAACGTCAGCAGTCGTCAATCTACTCCACAAAGCCATAGAAATGATTAATTCATTGCGTTTTGTTAATCAAACGATTCAGCCGGTGAAGAAAGAACATAAATCTACCCAGACGGAAGACGTAACTCAAGAGATAATATCGACTGCGAAGTCAATGCGTGAAGATGAAGACGAAACAGCAGAAGACTTCTTCTCTGACTATCTTCGTAACCGAGAGCTGTACAAGGCATTGTGGAAGTAAGTTTACCTTTCGAAATTTGTATTCCCATTTGTCCGTATCACATTTCACACATGATTTGAAGGACTTTATTTATGGAATGTGGACAGTTTCCGAGGACAAATGAGTTGGCGCATCGGTGACGTGCATCCCTTTCGTGCAATCTGTAAGAAGGCATTTAAAGAGTGTCTATTCGTATGAAGGGCTGATCAGGGAAAGGTATACTTCACATCAGCCAACTATGACATACAGAATGAGTCATGATTAGTTGTCATATGACATAATTCCACAATATTGATTGACTCATATATTCATTGGTAGATTATTACTGTCATCACTATATACATGGAGACACAGATATCCGGATTCTCCATGTTAATCAGTATTAGTTCATTGAGATTTCTCGTATTCATTTGGCGATGAATTTTCTACGCTGTATACAGACCGTGCAATAAGTACTCATCAAAATACTACTCCAAAACCCATCGACTCAAAACACTGAATAAATGAATGTATGATTTTGATGTGGTTGTGTTCTCTGAGCTGGATAGTTAATTTGCGAAGCTTTCATCACCTACTAGGTGACATCTTCAGCGCATACTTCAATTTGTTGAAGTGAGCTTTTAGATTTCTCCACGAGTTTATTAATCATCTCTTCCGGTGACCGTGGACGTGATTGGTTGTTTTTGTGTGTTTTCACACCTTCTAGGGCTTACTGTATTGGAACTAATTGTTTCTTTGACTTGAACTTTGACCCTTTGTGTGTGAGGTTTCTTTCTTATCGGTTGATAAATTTTGTCTATCTCGATGTGTCTATTGATTGACAATCCACTGGAATATTAGGCTTCTAAATATTCTCTAGCATTCTTGGTGTTTCCTTTGTCTAATATTTCAATGTTGTCCCAGTCGAATTGATGTCCATGGTTGTCTGTATGCATTGTTATTAGGTAGTGGTAGTCATGTCTTTTGACGGCTAGCTTATGTTCGTGGATACGAAGACGAAGGGGATGACCATTTTGGCTAATGAAGTGTTTTTCGCACTTGTTACAATTTATTTTGTAGATGATGTTGGTTTTATCTTCTTTCGTTGTTGAGTCTTTTGGTTGACATAGAGCCAGCTGAGTGAAGTGATTTTGTTGGTTTGTGTGCGACGTCAATTCCTAAAGGTTTGACGAGTCTTGCAGTGATTTCTGATATATCCTTTATATGGTAGGGTGACTTTCTTTGTGCTTGCCTTGGGGGCTTTTGGTTTGACAGGTTGGCTTTGGGGTATATTTCTTTTGATGAAATTCCGTGGATATCCATTCTTTTGGAAGACGTCCATGAGATGTCTTTCTTCAGTTTTCCTCAAGATGGGAGTGCTGCAATGAGTCCTGGCTCTCTTGAATAGTGTTTGTATGCAATTCCTTTTGAGTGTTATTGGACTGTTGCTGTTGTAATTCAGTATTTGGTCCGTGTGAGCTGATTTTCTATAAACTTGGATTTCTAATTCCCCCGTTGTTGTTCGTTTGACCAAGACATCCAAAAATGGGATTTTTTTCTTGGATTCCTCTTCTCTTGTGAATTTGATGTCGTGGTGGTGTGCATCCACTTCGTGAAATCTATAAGTACGCCTTTGAAGAGTGCAAATTCCTATCATGGGCCGATCAGATAAAGGTGTTACTCACATCAGCCAACTATGACATACGGAATGAGTCATGGTTAATTGACGCTAGTGTAGTGACATATTCAATCTACACTATAGGTTGAGTCATGTACTCACTGGTAGACTATTACTGTCATCACTATGTACATCCAGATACAGATATCCGAAATCTCCATATTGATGAGTATTAGTCCATTGAGAATTCTCGTATTCATTTAGTGGTGAATTGTCTACGCTGTATACAGACCGTGGAATAAGTATTCATCAAAATACTACTCCAAATCACACGGACTCAAAATACTGGATAAACGAATGTGCGAATGTCAAAGACTGACTCTTGCTGCTGTTATCGCTGATAGTGGGATGCTGTAAAAGGCTAGACATGTTCCTCCGGTAGCTCTAAACTCCTACTATACGGAGACGTGAGTGACACTTTGTATACATTTTCCCCTGGTTTCATTACTCATTGATGAGATATCATATCAGTAGTATGTGATGATAAACGGGATATACTGTTGAGTGACACTTTCACAATTCCTCTCATCCTAAAGATGGTATCAATTCCATCCAGATAATACTGGCATATAGGTTTGTATTTCAGAGTAAATTCAGGAGAGGGATATTTATATGCTGAATGACGTGGATCTTTTCCTCTCCGTGAATATATGCTTGGTGCAAAGTTGCATTTATTTATATTTATTTTGATTATAGCTTGACTCCACACCTTTTTTTTAATACAAGTCTGGAATTTTCAGCATGTGATACCAGTAGCCCAAATTAAGCAGGCCGACCATTGATATCGGGTGTGCGCCGGCAGGGGATCGAACCCCAGACCATGTGCTTGGTCGGTGAGAGTCCTAACCGCTGTGCCACCGACGTACATTACGTCTGATTAATCAAATTAGTTCGAAGCCACTAAAATGAATCAGGTTAATTCGTTCTGTATGCACACCGTGGTCGACTTCGCATAGCACAATATTGTTGCAAAGACGCATACCACATCACATAGTACTCTCGACACACGTCAGTGGGAAATCCATCATGCCACTTGATAGAACAACTATCCTTCTCAATCTCAATATTCTAAAGTCATCATCAACATCATCAGGATAACTGATGAAACGTGTCTCCTCAAAATCTTCCATCTAACCTTTTAAACACCCTACCGGTTTCATTACCTGCTAATAAGGTCAGGAAATCGGCCGTTTGTATTTCGTGTAGACAGATTCATGCTGTAGAATCCACTTATCTGTTAAACACCTGATTCCATTTATTCTCTTAAAATGTTCTGAAACACCTTATGCTTTTCCGAGAGAGCTGGCAACCACCCGCTTTCTGCTGCTTCTATCGTAAGATTTTAGGTTTCTATAAGAGTTTTGATACCCACAAGTATTCCATTTATCCCCTAATTTTCTTCATATTATAATTTACTGTCATAGACTTCAGTTTGATCACAATAATTTCCCATAGCTTCCTGATTTAAGGTAAAGCGCCTTTTGGTAGATTCACTGGAGCTGTTAATATATGTGTAAAACTTGGGCACTGTGGTAGTAAGTTATTCCATATTAGTTTGTTTATTAGGTATATCACACAGTGAAACAGTATTATTTACTGGATAAATAATAATAATAAATAATAAGTAATAATAATAAATAATACTGTTTCACTGTGTGATATAGCTAATAAACAAACTAATATGGAATCACTGGAGCTGCTTTCACATAATAATTGGTAATCGCCAGTATCAGGCTAAAATTCAAGCTCACCATCCGGAAGTAGACAGTTTTGCCACCTTAATTCACAACTTACCTGTCATTTGTTAATAATGACTACAGTTTTGCGGAAAAACATGTCTGTAGTAGTAGCAGCCTGATACGCATTACTTTCTCGTTAACGGTGTTCACTTCCATCACAATGTCTGACTGTGTTTGCATCTGTCTATCTGTCTCCATGTTATTTGTAGATCAACCACACAACATAAAATCGCATCCCCTAGTTCAGATGACCGAAAAATGAAGGATATCGAAGAGGTTATTGGAAAATCAAACTTCAGTGGAAGGGAAATCACTGGAGTGATGCAGTCTAGCTGGAGTTTGAAATCAAACCGAGGAAAAGCGATAGAACCATACCAATCATCGTCAACAAGACAACTGTATTGGTCACAATCGACTGCTAATAAGCAAGAAGGTGGAATGGTCATGCATGCAGTGACTAGGAGAATGATGTGGGCTGAGGAACGCCAGGGCAACAGGGAGACAGGCATTGAGGTAGGCTATGAAACTCGTTTGACCTATATGTATTCATATAGTTGGCAGAGATTAACAGATGGTATGTAGGATAGATGAATGTGTTCATCCGGCAGAAACCAGGATGAAATGAATTTCGCAGATTGAGTGACTTAAAATAACTGACAGGTGTGAGTGGAAGTCCACTTGAAATTCGAGAGGGTGAAGCTGAGATCAGGGTCATAAGGGAGGAGTTGAAATGTGATAGTAGGGAAGCAGAAAACTAGTGGAAAGGAATCCTTATAGGAATGACCGAGTTCAGTTCCCGATTTGTAAAAAAAATGGACATTGTCAGATTACCTTTGCTAAGGAATTTTTGGGTAGTAATTGTGCTCACTGGACTGCAGAAATCTTGCACAACTGAGCAGCCAATAGTTAAGAAAGCCAGTCCCCTGTAATCTTGAACATCTGAGACATATACTGAAGTGTTCAACACAAAGGTTGCATCCTCATTCAGATTAATCCATCGGAACACATTCTATAAAAAAATTTCATCAGAGAAATGGTAGTGATCTCACTTTTTTATGACTTTCTTTTGATAAAATAGTCTGTTTCAAATTACGCATAGTATTAGGTGGTTTCTTTAGCTACGTGGGGGTGAAACTCCAAAGCAGAACACTGTGAGTAAATTCGACTACATTGTCAGAAGATGGAGGGAACAAGCAATACAGATTTCAAGGACTACAGACGTAAATCTAAGAAGACATTATAAGTGCATATATGGTCAGCGATGTGGTTATGTGGGATGACCTTGAGGGGGCCGAATGCAATTTATTGGAAACAGAAATATTTGGTTGGCACCATGATTCAAAGCGTCGATTGCCGAATTACCTGGTGAATCTCATTGCTCATTTCACATTCAGTGAATAGGAGGCAGTCAACTCAAGTTTATCTCACACACTGTTAACACTGTCAGTTATCGATCCGCTCTTCTGCTTCTATTTCTTTATGAGAAGGATTGACAGGGGGAGACGTAGGTGGGTAGATAATGCTTTGGTGATTAGCAAACTATCATGTTTCACTCTTGGCTAACATGAGAGTCGGGAAACTGTGCCGACAATCCCAGTGAAATGATAATCAGATAAAGCTTTGATTGTCGTTTGAACATCTGATTTTGAAATAGTTGTGTTCTCTGATTTGGATGGTTTATTTGAGAAGCTTTCATTACCGAAAATCTCCATTGCAGACATCAATTTGAAGTATCTGAGTATTGTTCAATTCACATTTGAATGAGAACAATGAAGTTTATAGGCTACTAGATGGGTTAGCTATAAAAGGCATTGAAACATGCAGGTAGGGAAGCAGGCGACGTGGTAGCTATGAGATTTGTCCCGATAATTCGAGAAAAATCCAGATTTCATTGATTTTTCTTTTGAATACTACTAATAAGACCACTCAACCGTTTAAGAATGCGATTTATTTCACAAACTGAGAATGTAACGAAACTATCTTCTGAAAAAGGTAATGCCTCTGCACGTTCTCAAGTATTTCCAATGCTTGTCTTTTCCTTCACTAAACTCAGGTGGATTCAAAAACTCACTTCCGAGTCGGAAGTATCTCCAGTACACCAGTTCGAGAATGCACCACATTCACACCACATTCGTCAATGGGCACGTCGAATTTGCTGCCTCCATGGAATGACTTCGATCCTGCTATTGTATGCTCAATCATTTACCAATCAAGTAATCCATCCGTGACACAATCAAGAAGTTCTGCTAATGCAAATCAGAATTAGTGGTACAGAAGTGAGAATAGAATCTACTGGGATTCAGTTTTTTCAGAAGACGCATGATTGACTGATACCAGTTGGTGTCACGTAGTGTTAGTATAGCCAAGTATGACTGTTTCAGTTTACATTGGAATCCCTGTAATCATTCATAATAAATATTGTTGAATATTTCTCTGTCATTCTGTTGGTGAAACACTTTTCAGGGAACTTCTGACAGGTTTGATTGATTCTGTTAGGTGTGAAGCCAGAATGGAATTTCCTGTTGAACATGAGGTCTTTAATCCTGTCTCGTAGGGTGATTTAATGAAGTACCTCACGTATTCTCCTACATCCGAACTATAATCGGGATGATATTTAGTGCGTGAATTTAGAATTGGTTGTTCAATTGTGGTGGAAACTGAAATACTTAATACGTAATACTTAATACTTAATAAGCACTTAATACGTTTAATCGTACTCCAAAAATATGGTGGAGATATGTGGATGACACTTTCACAGTGTTAAAAACAGAACATATCTCTAGCTTCCTGACACACATAAACTCACTAGTGGAGGGAATAAAATTCACATTTGAAACCGAAAATGAGCAAGGAGAATTAGCTATGTTAGATTGTAAAATAAAACGAATAGAAGGCAAACTTCACACTAGTGTTTGTAGAAAACCAACGCATTCTAATAGATATTAGACTTTAATTCATCTCATCCTTTAAGGCAGGCTTAGTTAAGTGTCTAACAAACCAAGCCATAGCACTAAGTAGCACAAAAAAAGACCTAAACGACGAGATAAAACAGATAGAAGAGGCGTTGGTTCTAAATAACTATCCTATAAAATTCATTAGTAAGATTGAAAACGCCAAAAGAAAAATAAAAAGAATTGTGAAACTAATAATAATAACATAAATAAGAGAGAATATAAGTCATCTACAGTTATACCATTTAAAGAGGGGACATCTGAGACCCTACGTAGGATTCTAAATTAAGCAGGAATTAGGGTGGCATTTAAACCTACAAACTCGCTCAGGGACAAGCTCTGTAGGTTAAAGGACCCAGTTGACCCAATTAGAGAAAACAATATAATTTACAAAATACCCTGCAATGAAGTGAACCACGTCAACTACATAGGTCAAACTAGTAGGTCAGGGGTAGTCAGATTGTCAGAACATAAGAATTTAGCTAAGGTAAGAATGGTTGACCCAGAGAAGATAAGTAATTTAGAAAAAAAGCTCGGCAATTGCAATGCATGCATTAACACACAACCACACAATAGGGTGGGAGAGGGTTAAAATTCTAAAAAGTAATCTAGGTAGGTGGAGAGAGAGGTTGATTACTGAATCCTTGTTCATCGAATCTGCACCCAACACATGCAATAGAAATGATTCATCACTCATACCCGAAATATGGAAAATAATACTACCAATCATATCAGGTGAAAATCAAGTGAAAAACAATGTAACTATATAAATGAATTTAGGAAGTCGTGTGATTACCTTGATATGATTATGAGCAATAAATTGTGCTCGAAACGTCATCAGTAAATATTACTGTATAACACTGTGAGACTTTATCAAAATAAAATTTACCCATAATGGAATTACACTCTACCACAGTGCCCAAGTTTTATTCTTATATCAATGAAACTGAAATCTGACAAATTTACTTCCTACTTGCCTCTCGTACACGCCTTGATAATTCAAAATAGACAAATTTTAACGAGTAGGGATTTATCAGTGTGTTTGTAATTCAGCGAATCATTGAAGCCAGAAAATATGCATGAGTAGTGGCAAAAGGAAGCGCGAAATTGAAACGTGGGTTCATAAGCTATCTAGATATACATTCTGTTAGTGAGAAATGATTTCAAAGATCAGACAATAGTACACCGGCGACGTTTGGATGTAGAGTTGGATAATCGAGAATAAATCGACTCCTGCAAATTAGGATATATTAGGTTGCGAGGCGTTTGGATTGCACACAGGAGTAATACGACGCTGACTGCCTATTATCAGCCACGATGATATTCCTAGTTGTGGCGGACTGGATTTTGCGTTATGCAGTGTGTCCGCGTGCACAGGGAGAAGACAGGAAGAATTTGAATATATAAAAAGACTGTTGCAGATCTGGATTTCACGGGTGATTTGTGTTCAATGTCACACAACGTCGAAGACCTGCTGGAGAAAACAAACACATTGTCAGAAGAAGTAGTGAAAACAGGACTTCTAGTAGAATAGAGGGTGATGAAAATATCGAACCAATGAGAATAGCGATCAAAATCACTATCATTGTTATAATTATTCCCTTTAGTTCTGAGTGGAACATAGGGCTTCAGCAATACACTTCCATCTTCTGCCCTCCCCTTCAGATTGGAACACGATTGCCCACAATCTCTCATCTCCTCCTCACACGATCTCCTCAATGTCACTCTCGCAATGACGACCCACTCGTCGCTTCCCACTGGGATTCCACTCAAACCTTGTCTGGTGCGTGATGTAATTCGATGGTTTCTTCAATGTATGCCTTATCCATATCCATTTTCTCCTACATACATGTTGAGCGATCGGCTCTTGGCTGGTTTGTTCGCAGTGTTTCTTGTTACAAATTCTTTCTGGCTGGCCATTTGATCTTCAGTATGCAGGCAGCGAAAGTGGCAGCTGTTGATCAGAGTCTGCAGCCTGTTGGAAATCCTTTTGGTGAGCCGTACAGAAGAACTGACCGACTTCAAATTGGCTTTGAAAATTCTAATCTTGTTCTTTATCCTGAGTCAGTGCAGAAGATCTCCAAACTGGTTTCACGTTATTTAAGGCTACCTACTTCGCCGCCTTCATATTAAAGACCAACTGGCTAGCGAGAATGAATTAACAAGAATAAACCCTCAGAAAAATCAAATCAATAATAAATATCGAGTGTGGCCTCCGAGGGTGACATGAGTTATTATAGTCAATCGTGGGGCCAGCTGGAATAGGACAAAATTGAGATGCGCTGTTAAACCGCTATATTCCACTTGGAGCCACAGGGAATAATAATAAAATAATAACGTTTTCAAACTTATTGTACTTGACACTCCTTGGAGATGAATAAGCCGACCAAATGAATGGAAGAAACATAAGTGAATAAATGAATGCTAAGTCATTAACGGTACATATGAACGTCAGTGTACTCTTAGTGTGGATTGTGCCATAGGAATCGTTGATTATTTCAATATGCATTCATTCAAAAGATGAAGTTATGTGGTCCAACCTGGTTTTGTTAACTCAAATATGGTTTAACGTAAATAAATATGGGTGAGAAATCAGTTAATCCTGGAAATTGTTGAAAGTGAAATTATTAATGACGAATGACACAATAAGAAGCAGATATACAAATAAACAAAACAAAAGTTGAATGACACTTCAGTAGGCATAGGGATTACAACTGTTAAAAATAGACAGATTAAGCGCATAAATGAAGGAGTGGTTGAAGAAACGTTTTAGGCAAACCGACGTCTGACTTTTCCGTTTCAATGACCACAACTGCAGTATTACAAATTAGTCGAAGACAGTAACAATTTCTGTAGGTTATTTGACACCTTGTAGATAACTAACGTGAAAGGAAGAGGCTGTAAAAAAGAGACTGACGGCAGAACAGTTTGATGTTGAATTGTTCAAGAGGGACTTTTGGCTGAATCACATTTGTTGATTTCCTTTATGTTCTTTATCTATCAGTAAAACAACTGCTGTTCTTGCTCAGGTAAACAAACTAGCTACCTTCCCCTTAACACTATCCTTCCATACACACACAGACAGAACTACTAGTTTATTGGAGTATGGTACACAGTGCCATTCAAATAAAGTTGTAAATGATATCGTAATCTCCACTGGCACAATGAATCCATGTTCTGAATCTATTGTCTATCTCCCTGGGTCTTGGATTTCTCGATAATGCCTTGCTGCGGTACTCCAAATTCTTGTCCCATCAATTCATAAGCAAAAACTAAAACTCTGTGTTCAAATATGCTTTATCTAGGCAGTTTCAATATAATGTCCTCAGTGTAGATCTTATTTTCATGAATTGTTGTATCATAAACATTATGGAGTCCTTTTATTCAATGTTTTCCATTTCAATCATTCGTTCTTTCGTTTTCTACGAATTATTTTGTAGTGGTTACTCATAACTTGCGTCGGTGGTGTAGCGGTTAGGACACTCACCGACCATGCACATGGTCCGGGGTTTGATCCCCGGCCGACACACTCCTTTACCTCACTGAGCCAGAAATATTGCTGGTAAAGAGGGAAGGTTGGGCATGAGGCTAGCAACCCTTTCTTGTAAAATGAACACTGCTACAGAAACTTCAAGCCGCTAGCTTGGAGCCCTATTTTCCCCTGGGGAACATGAAGGAAAAAAGAAACAAACAAAGACTCATAACTCAACAGATAAGTTATCAACCCTCTCGATTACATGAGATTAGTTACCATGTTTCCGCACTTTGTGAATTCTCATACATTCAAACGTTACTTTGCTGCCAACTGACAAGTACCACAGACCTGTAATGTAAATTTAAATTGTACTTTTATGCATACCCTAGAATACGTTGACGCCTCCTTAGTGAAAATACGAATATAAATCTGTCTGCTCACTTGTGTGTCTTTGAATAAATAGATCAAGAACCTCATAGTTGTATTTTCTTCAATTGCTTTCATGACTGACTCTCTGCTGTTGTAATTTCATCAGTTCCATCATCAACTTGCACTCGTTAAGTCTTATGGTTGGGTGATGACCAGTCAATGAGAATACCAGAAGCACCATAGGATTAATTGACTTATACTCATCGATGCACTGGTGAATTCATGCTAAGAAGATTATTGTCTTACGTTTTCTGTAAAAAAATGAGTGTTAAAGAGAATAACAATTTCATTTTGTCTGCAGTCCTATGTTAACAGTCATCACCAAAGTTGCACTAACGAAGACAATGTCATGAGTTGTGAGCAACTAATATTTGTTTACTGTGAGTTAATCAAAGTGTGTGTTATGTCATT